CTGGCCATTCTCTGCTCTGAGAAGTGTGAAATTTCAGGGAAGGCTCCTGTCTCCTTGCCTCCGATGTCCTTTTACTGGGTTAGATTGTGTATCCTCTACTCATGTGGAAAACATTTATGCCAATAGTCCCCTGAATACCTAAGGGATTTAGGGACAGTCACCAGCTACTCACCTGCCCACCACAGAAGTGGTGGGGAAAATAAAGACAGAGATGGAGCAGATCTATTAAAACCTCCCGGGTGTTTATTTCGCTAGGATTTCCCTTCAGTCACTCTGAGTCCCACCTGCCCCATATGTTTTCAGGGCTCAGTGAGATTCAAGTCTTTGTCCCTCTGAGGTGTCCGTTTTCTCTGTAAGAAGGTTTCAGAGGAGCAGCCGTGTTTGTCTCTATTCGCAAAAAGAACAGGAGGACTCGTGGCACCTTAGAGACTAACCAATTTATTTGAGCATGAGCTTTCGTGGGCTACAGCTCACTTCATATCCGATGCATTCAGTGGAAAATGCAGTGAAGAGACTTATATACACACAGAACATGAAAAGACACCCAGTTTTTCATGTTCTGTGTGTATATAAATCTCCTCACTGTATTTTCCACTGAATGCATCCGATGAAGTGAGCTGTAGCCCACGAAAGCTTATGCTCAAATAAATTGGTTAGTCTCTAAGGTGCCACAAGTACTCCTGTTCTTTCTGTAAGAAGGGAAGCCTCAGCCTGTGAGCCCAAAGTCAGTGTGATCTGTCTCAGGGTGCCTCTCTTCACTCTGACAGCACACAGTGACCTGGGGTTCTTTTCAGCACCCCCTCCTCTCCCAATCTGCCCTCCCTCCTTCGCACTCCCTGGGTAGCCCCCTTTTCCCAGGGCTTGCTCTCCTCCCACTGACGGAGTTAATGGAGCCTGTGTTTGGTGGGTCCTTAGTCTCCTCTCACTCCCAGCGAGGTTCGCTAACAAGTTCTAATAGCCGGAGCTCCTTTCCCTCCCGAGAGCTGTGGGCAAAGGCAGGGGGACAACGCCCTGGTAACGGGTCCAATCTGTGGCAGACAAATGTTTCCTACAGCTTGCTTCCTGGCACACCCAGCTTCTCCAAGAGCTTTGATTGTTCTGTTCCCCTTCTCCTCCAGTTAAAGTTGACTGTGTCCCAGGAACAGAGTCATAACCTGAAAATTGATTTAGGCACTTAAGGTTCTAAATCCCATGAGCTTTCACTGACCCTAAGTCACTTGGCAAATAATTATCCAGGGTCTGTTCACATGGGGGAGGGATAGCTCAGTGGTTTGAGCATTGGCCTGCTAAACCCAGGGTTGTGAGTTCAATCCTTGAGGGGGCCATTTAGAGATCTGGGGAAAAAATTGGGGAGTGGTCCTGCTTTGAGCAGGGGGTTGGACTAAATGACCTCCTGAGGGCCCTTCCAACCCTGATATTCTATGATTCTATGGGTAACCATTCCCAGGGTGGCTGAGGGCTGCAGTGTTAGCAGGAGACCTGGATTCTGTCACTGGGGGTTTTTGAATTACTGTAGATGTGGTTTGTGTCACTGTGTGCCTAGCACAGTAATACCTGGCTGTGTCATCGGTTCTCAGGCTGCCCAGCTGTAGATAGGCCGTGCTTATGGAGGTGTCCCTGGTGATGGTGAATCGCCCCTGGAAGGCCTGGGCATAGCCAGTGCCACCGTTACTGGGATTGATGTATCCTATCCACTCCAGTCCTTTCCCGGGAGCCTGCCGTACCCAGTTAATGTTGTAGCTGGTGAAGGTGTAGCCGGAGGTTTTACATGTCACCCTCACAGACTCTCCAGGCTTCTTGATTTCTGCCCCAGACTGGGTCAGCTGGATCTGGGAGCTGACACCTGTAAATGTGTAATGATACGGAAGGAAAATATGATTAATTTCTCTCTTCCCGCCCCTCCTCTTCCCAGATTTATCCAGGTCCTTCTATTGCCCCCTCCCCCGCCCCCCTTAGAATTATGTGAGCTCCTGGGGTATTCAGGACTTTATCCACACAACACCCGGGGGAGGTAGGGAAGTACTTGTTATTATCACTTTACTGACAAGAAACTGAGGCACAGAGAGACCCAGCCTAACAATTTCCAAGCTGCCCAAGGGGTTTTGACACCAAGTTCGTCAGAAAACCAATAAGAATCTGGCACCCAACCCCCCTAGGTAACTTTTCACATAAATGACTCCTTCAAAGACTTATTGAATCCCAGTTGTATCTTAACCATAAACCATCCTTCCTATGCTACCCCAGCTGTCCGAGCTCACTGCCTGTAAGTTTACTCCACTTACCGGAGAAGGCTGCCAAAAGGACAAGGAACCCCAGACATGCCATTTTAATTCTACCCAACCACCTTGTGTGGTGCAACGACTGTGAACTGTCTGGCTGCCCCGGCAGATTTCCAGTAAGGATCAGTCTCTCTCCTTTATCAGGAAGTTTTCTTACTTCATTTGCATGTGGTCATTGCTATGGCATTTGAATAAACCGCAGCGGCACCGGCCTTGGCAAATAAACGACCTCAGAACCCAGAGTGATAGACTGAGGGGGAGGCGCTAGGTCATTGCAATGGAATTTATGCTCCGATTCCTTTGCGCCCCAGAGAGACCACACGGTCAGCTCAGCCCGGCTGTACTTTCATCTTTGGTGATTCGCCTGGGGCCCTAGGAGACAGGACAGAAGTTGCAGAGTCAGTCCCTACATCATGCACTCGCTCCCTGTTGTCGTTGTATGAATCAACCGAGGGGCTCTGTGTGCACAATGCCCGCTCATGTCAGTGGGCGGTGGGTGCCCAAATCCCCTGGGCGCATTGGATAGGCTCAGCCTTACTGAGTCAGGGCCTCTGTTCCTCCTATATGTAAAATGGGGCTAATGAGACTTCCCTGCTTCACGTGTGAGGGTAAAATCCAGGAATGGTCGTGAGTCGCTCACATGCTCCAGTGACAAGGGGAAGAGAAGAGCAGAGACAGGGTGGGGTCTGGGCATCCAACTGCCAGTAAAATCCAGTGAGATTCTGGCTCCTAACTGCCGCAGGTTTCTTGATAAAATCCCAGCCTGGCTCCATGGAGTCCATCTACAGTGTGTTGTACACCGGCGTCAGGGACAGGTCAATGTGGTATTTGCACATGTGGTTGCGGGTTTGGAACGGGAGTTAAGGGAATTAGGATCCCCAGACCTAACTGGGGGGAGGGATAGCTGGGTGGTTTGAGCATTGGCCTGCTAAACCCAGGGTTGTGAGTTCAATCCTTGACTGGGCCATTTAGGGATCTGGGGAAAAAATGGGGATTGGTCCTGCTTTGAGCAGGGGGTTGGACTAGATGCCCTCCTGAGGTCCCTTCCAACCCTGATATCCTGTGATTCTATGACCCACTGGATTTGGGCGCCTGTTGAGTTGTTCACGTCATTTCCGGGGGGGTGGGAAAGAGAATTTGGAAATAAATCCAGTGGTTGTGAACAGGCAAATGTTCACACTAAACACAGGAGAAGCCAGCACAGGGGAAGCAAGAGGATTCAGTAAATGGAGCAGGGATTTTGGTAAAGGGGGCTGGGTCCTGGGAGGGTGCAGGCCAGCTCCCTCGGTCGGGAGTTCTCTCACTAAGAGGCCACCCCGTCTAACTGGGGGAGGGAGAAAAGTTGTTTTTTCCCATGTAGCACCAGCCAACAGCTTTCAGGGCAGGAGCAGGAGGGAGAGAAGTTGGGAGACAGGAAAGTTCTGGGCTGTATCCAAAGGAGGCCTGTGATTGTGGTAGGTCAAGAGCGGGGCTGGGACACACACTGGCAAGGGGGGAGCGGGAGAATTTGGCAGAGATGTTAAACCTTGTCCTTTAGGGTTCAAACCAGTGATACCCAGGCCTCAGGGGTTCAGGAGCCAAACTATCCATCAATATTACCCAAAGAGTCACAGTAGTGTGAATGACAGGGAAAATATTTAGTGTATATGTATACATATAGACACGCTCTCTCTATATATTTAGTATATAAGTATTTATATATAATATATTATTTTGATGTCTATCTGTATATCTATATCTATAAAATTCCCACAGTAAGTTAATAACTTAGTGCAAGTCGATAACTCAATTGGTTAATAACATAATAAAAACATCCTGATTGGTTAATAACTTGGATGGGTTCATAATTAAACCATACCACGTGCTGCAAAGGCCGGTGGGAAACACATTAAAAAGCCCCCTGCGGCTGGAGAGCCACAGTGTGAGTGTCTCTGGTTTAACCAAAAAGAAAAGAAAAGGAGTACTTGTGGCACCTTAGAGACTAACCAATTTATTTGAGCATGAGCTTTCGTGAGCTACAGCTCACTTCATCTTCTGATGAAGTGAGCTGTAGCTCATGAAAGCTCATGCTCAAATAAATTGGTTAGTCTCTAAGGTGCCACAAGTACTCCTTTTCTTTTCTTTTTGCAAATACAGACTAACACGGCTGTTCCTCTGAAATCTGGTTTAACCCAATCTCTGTTAGAGGCCAGAGTGAGACGTGTTCTGGAGGGTGGGTATTCTCATATCCTTAGATGCGGGGTCCTTATGTGAAGCAGTCCCTGCTAGTCATGCTCAGAGACAGGTTATTGGGCTACGCGAACTTGACTTGAACCCCGCTGGGAATTCCTGGGCTCCTGAGGGAGAAAGGCAGCGCTGTCTTCTGTAGCTGGTGCCAGAAGGGTTATGGGATTGCTGCTGGGAATGAGACCTGATTGCTTGTCTGATTGATTCCCCCTGGGGAAGCCATGAGATATGAGCTCTGTGTCTCTGTTTTACAAGGAGCTGAGTGAGGAGACGAGGAATTTTCCCTCTCCCCTTTCCACCTCCTAAACCTCCTTGTGACCAGTGTCTCATCCCGCTTCTAATGGAGACGTGAGTGTGAAAGGGCCCCGAGTGAGTCTAGACAATCCGCTTCCCCTTTTTGTACCAGCCCCGCTTTGCTCTGTGTCACTGTGTGTCTCTGGCACAGTAATACATGGTGGTGTCTGCAGCCGCGAGGGAGGCCAGCTGCAGGGAGAACTAGTTCTTGGAGGTATCCGACGAGATGGTGGTCCGGCTTTGGAGCGACGCGGCAAACGACTTGTTCCCGTTGTACGGATATATACGTACTACCCACTCCAGCCCTTTCCCGGGAGACTGCCGGACCCAGCTCCACGCGTAGCTGCTGTCAGTGATGGAGACACCCGAGACAGCGCAGGTCAGTGTGAGGGTCTGTCCAGGCTTCACCACGCCCGGGCTGGACTCGACCAGCTGCACCTGAGAGAGGACACCTGAAACAGAGGGAAACAAGTTATGGAAGTGATTAGGCAGCCAATTAATCTGTGGAACTGTCCTCAATTTCCCCGCTCTCTAATACACACTCACAGGTAGGGGCCGATAACAGGGAAAGGAAAAGCCACAGAGATGTCATTCTTGTTTTCATAAAAGAAGGGAAACGCCTCAGCGGGCAGGACCGGGCAGTTCTGTGTCTGGGGAGAAACTGACACTCCCTGTGTCATAAATATAAAGGGAAGGGTAAACATCTTTAAAATCCCTCCTGGCCAGAGGAAAAACCCTTTCACCTGTAAAAGGGTTAAGAAGCTAGGATAACCTCGCTGGCACCTGACCAAAATGACCAATGAGGAGACAAGATACTTTGAAAAGCTGGAGGGGCGGGGGGAGAAACAAAGGTTCTCTCTGTCTGTGTGATGCTTTTGCCAGGGACAGAACAGGAATGGAGTCTTAGAACTTAGTAAGTAATCTAGCTAGATATGTGTTAGATTCTGTTTATTTAAATGGCTGAGAAAATAAGTTATGCTGAATGGAATGGATATTCCTGTTTTTGTGTCTTTTTGTAACTTAAGGTTTTGCCTAGAGGGATTCTCTGTGTTTTGAATCCAATTACCCTGTAAGGTATTTACCATCCTGATTTTACAGAGGTGATTCTTTTACTTTTTCTTCAATTAAAATTCTTCTTTTAAGAACCTAATTGCTTTTTCATTGTTCTTAAGATCCAAGGGTTTGGGTCTGTGTTCACCTATGCAGATTGGTGAGGATTTTTATCAAGCCTTCCCCAAGAAAGGTGGTGTAGGGTTTGGGGAGGATTTTGGGGGGAAAGACATTTCCAAGCGGGCTCTTCCCGGTTATATATCTGTTAGACGCTTGGTGGTGGCAGTAATAGAGTCCAAGGGCAAAAGGTAGAATAGTTTGTACCTTGGGGAAGTTTAACCTAAGCTGGTAAAAATAAGCTTAGGGGGTTTTCATGCAGGTCCCCACATCTGTACCCTAGAGTTCAGAGTGGGGAAGGAACCTTGACTCCCCGACTCAGGGGTTTGTATTTAAACAGGAACCTCCAGGGGAAGGGATTTGCATGCGGGTTTCACCCAGCAGGTATAAAGGGAGGGACCCCTCTAGGTAGGGAGCTGTCTGGTGGGCAGCAGAGTCACGCATCCCCTTCGTGTCTTAGCATGTGACCCAAAGTCAATTCACATTCATTGGAGCCCTTCAAAGGGAGGCAAGGGACTGTGGATCGGGTCCCTATACTGGGAGTTTGAATCCAGCCTTCCAGCCGTGCCTGCTGCTGAACACCCTGGGCAGAGCTGGAAAATACAGACAAGAGAGAGGAAATGTCCAGAGACATGAGACTCTCCCGGGAGCATATGATGGGGAAGGAGCCGCATCTGCGGGGAGCCAAAGGCTGGTTCCAGGCACCAGAGTGTGAGAAAGCGCTTCAGGGAAAGGGGAGAGAGAGCTGGGCAGGGAGGATAGATGCAGGTTATGGGCTCTGTCAGAATAAAGACCATGACAGCAGTAACCCAGGGACAGTCTAGAGCACACGCTCGGGGGAAACACATCGCCTTAGTGTCCGGTGCTTTTCCTGTAGCTGGGACACGTCTGAGGGGGAGAGACAGTGTGAGAGAGACATTGCCGGGCCCTGCTGTGGGGTGGGGAGTGAAACTTGCTCCGAGTGTAGGGGTATGTCAGTGCTGAAGCCCAGCCAGTCTCTCATGCTGACCTGTAAAGTATCTGGTGACGCCATTCCAAGCTATGCCCGGTTCAATGGGGTTCGGGACATTTCTGAGAAAAGCATGAATGGCTCAGAGACAACCAATATTCTGGGCTCAGACACTCTGCTCTTTCTCTCAAACACCGGGACCTCCAAGGAGAAATCAGACAAAATGCTTGTTCATGATCCAGAGGCGACGGAGAACAAGATAGTCTGGAGTAAGGCAAGTTTACACTGGTATTACCTCATACAAACTAGACATTGCACTGTTATACCCTCATGGGTGAAAACATTACTCTCCTAACTCAAACACATATGGATACAAAAGCTGTGTGTAGACCGGAGCTGAGAGCTCTAGGGACTCATGACTGATTGAGCCCTGGTCTACACTATGAGGGTAGGTTGAATTTAGCCGCCTTAGGTCTATTTTATAAGCAATGAGGCTACACAACCAAACCCATTCCTTTGACCTAAAGGGCTCTTAAAATCGACTGCTGAACTCCTCCCCAATGAGGGGAGTAATGCTAAAATCGACCTTTCTGGGTTGAATCTGGGGTAGTGTAGACACAATTTGATGGTATTAGCCTCTGGGAGTTATCCCAGAGTGCTCCATTGTGACCACTCTGGACAGCGCTCTCAACTCCGATGCACTAGCCAGGTACACAGGAAAAGCCCCGGAAACTTTTGAATTTCATTTCCTGTTTGGTCAGCGTGGCGAGTTCAGCAGCACAGGTGACCATGCAGTCCCAGAATCGCAAACGAGCTCCAGCATGGAGTGAACGGGAGACACTGGATCTGCTCGCTGTGTGGAGAGAAGGATCTGTGCAGGCCGAACTCTGATCAAAAAGAAGAAATGCTCATATATATGCCGAAATTGCACAAGGCATGGTGGAGAGAGGCTACACCAGGGATGCTCCAGTTAAGGAGCTCAGGCAAGCCTACCACAAGACAAAGGAGGCAAACTGATGCTCCAGGTCAGAGCCCCAAACATGCTGCTTCTATGATCAGCTGCATGCCATTCTAGGGTGGGACCCTACCAGTACCCCACCACTGTCCATGGAGACCTGCAAGGGGGGAGTCTCATGCAACATGGAGGAGGATTGTGTGGAGGAGGAGGAGGAGGAGGGGGAGGAGGGGAATGTGTAGCAGGCAAGCAGAGAATCAAGCAGAGGAGGCACCTCTGGTGAGTGCTCATTTGTAACTACAGTACAGGGTTTTAAAGCAATTGTGTTTAATGTTTGATTTTCCCTGCAGACTTGGCATTTGTGGCCAGTACAGCTAATGGAAAAGTCTGTTAACGTGTCTGGGGATGGAGTGAGAATCCTCCAGGGACATCGCCGTGAAGCTCTCCTGGAGGTACTCTGAAAGCTTTTGCAGCAGGTTTCTGGGGAGGGCTGCCTTATTCCGTCCTCCAGGGTAGGACACTTTAGCATGTCAAGCCAGTAGCAAGTAGGCTGGAATCATTGCAGCACAAAGCATGGCAGCGAATGATCGTGGGTTTTGGTCACATTCATGCAACGTTCGGTCTTTATCTTTCTGTCTCAGCCTCAGGAGAGTGATATCATTCATGGTCACCCGGTTGAAACAGGGAAATTTTTGTAAGGAAATAGACAAAGGACCCCGTTCATGCTGGGCTGTTTGCGCTTGGCTAAAAGGGATCATCCTGGAATATAGCCACACGGTGGGGGGTGGGGTGTGCTGCACATCCAACCCAAAACCACAACCCCTCCTTTTAAATGGCAAACCCAACTGGCATTGCTTGTTATGGGAAAGGAGGGCACTGCAGTTTGACACTATTTCCACATGTTATGAAGGTGGAAGAAGCCAACCCCGCATACCCTTTTTGGCTTACCATGGCTTCTCTCTGGAGCACATGTGCTGTCTGCTGTGAATTGCTTGATTCACTGTGAAAGAGTCTTCCTTTTCTTCTTAGAAATGTATCTTCTTAAATTTTACTCTCCCTTTCTATCCCCGCTGCAGGTGCAAATGTTTCTATGCTCCCCCTATCATCTCTGTCCCTGAGGTTATCGCAGATTAGAAGGCGAAAAAAACGCACTCATGATGACAAGTTTTCCAAGCTCATGCAGTCCTCCCGCACTGATAGGGCACAGCTGAATGCATGGAGGCATTCAGTGGCAGAGGCCAGGAAAGCATTCAGTGAGCATGATCAGACCCATTCAGGTGGAGATGCTGAGGCTAATGGTGGAGCAAACGGACATGATCAGGCTTCTGGTGGAGCTGCAGGAAAGGCAACAAGAGCTCAGACCACCGCTGCATCCATTGTAAAACTGCCTGCCCTCCTCCCTAAGTTCCATATCCTCCTCACCCAGATGGCCAAGAATGCAGGGAGGGAGGCTCCAGGCACCCAGCCACTCCACTCCAGAGGATGGCCCAAGCAACAGAAGGCTGTCATTCAACAGTTTTGATTTGTAGTCTGGCTACAGTAAGCAATGTGGACCTGTCCTTCCCTCCTCCCGCACCTCACCCAGGCTACCTTGTCAGTGATCTCGCTTTTTAAAAAATAAATAAAGAATGCATGGATTCAAAACAATAGGGACTTTATTTCCTTTGCCAGCTGTGGTTGAAGTCGGGAGGGGGATAAGCTTACAGGGAAGTAAATTCAACAAAGAGGGCAGTTTTGCATCAAGGAGAAACACACACAACGGTGACATCGTAGCCTGGCCAGTCATGAAACTGGTTTTCAAAGCCTCTTTGATGTGCAGCACACCTAGCTGTGTTCTTTAATCGCCCTAGTGTCTGGCTGTTCAAAACTGGCTGCCAGGCGATTTGCCTCAACCTCCCACCCCGCCATAAACGTCTCCCCCTTACTCTCACAGATATTGTGGAACACACAGCAAGCAGCAATAACAATGGGAATATTGGTTTCGCTAAGGTCTAACCTAGTCAGCAAACAGCAGCAGCGAGCTTGTAAATGTCCAAAGGCACATTCTACCACCATTCTGCACTTGATCAGCCTATAGTTGAACTGCTCCTTACTACTGTCCAGGGTGCCTGTGTATGGCTTCATGACCCATGGCATTAAGGGGTTGGCTGGGTCCTCAAGGATAACTCTAGGCATTTCAACATCCCCAACAGTAATTTTCTGGTCTGGAAAGTAAGTGCCTTTTTGCAACTGTTCAAACAGCCCGGAGTTCCTAAAGATAGGAGCATCATGCATCTTTCCTGGCCATCCCACATTGCTGTTGGTGAAACATCCGTTGTGATCCACCAGTGCTTGCAGCACCATTGAGAAGTACCCCTTGTGGTTTGTGTACTGGCTGGCAAGGTGGTCTGGTGCCAAGATAGGGATATGCGTTCTGTCTATCTCTCCCACCACAGTTAGGGAACCCAATTGCAGGAAAGCCATCCACTGTGACCTGCACATTTTCCAGAGTCACTACCCTTGCTAGCAGAAGGTTAGTGATTGCCTTGGCTCCTTGGATCACAGCAGCCCCCACAGTAGATTTGACCACTCTGAACTGATTCCCAGCTGACCAGTAGCAGTCAGGAGTTGAAAGCTTCCACAGGGCTATCGCAACCCACTTCTCAACTGTCAGGACAGATCTCATCTTGGTATTCCTGCACTTCAGGGTGGGGTAAAGCAACTCACACAGTTCCACGAATGTGGCCTTATGCATGAGAAACTGTCACAGCCACTGGGAATCATCCCATTCCTGCAACACTATGCAGTCCCACCAGTCTGTTCTTGTTTGAGGGGCCCAGAATTGGCGTTCCACTGTATCAACCTGCCCCACTGCTGCCATGATGTCCCAATTGCCACATCCCGTGCTTTCAGGAACATCTGTGTCCATGTCCTCCTCACAATAGTCCTCGTGCTGGCGTCTCTTAGCCCTGTTCTTCACATACTGCAGGATAATGTGTGAGGTATTTACAATGCTCACAATAGCAGCGGTGAGCTGAGCAGGCTCCGTGCTTGCCATGCTATGGCATCTGCATGGGTAACCCAGGAGAAAAGGTGTGAAACTATTGTTTGCCATTGCTTTCAAGGAGGGAGGGAGGGACAGAGCAGAGACTGATGACATGTACCCAAAACCACCTGCGACAATGTTTTTGCCCCATCAGGCATTGGGAACTTAACCGAGAATTCCAATGGGCAGTGGGGACTGTGGGACAGCTACCCACAGTGCACCACTCCATGAGCTGATTCTCGCCACGGTATTGAGGACACACTCCACTGACCTAATGCACTTAGTGGGGACATACACGATAGACTGTATAAAATCGCTTTCTAAAGATCGACTTCTATAAATTGACCTAATTTTGTAGTGTAGACATAAACATGCACCAGTTTGATTTAGGCCTTGTCTGCAGGGGAAATTAGTTTTGTTATAAATGAAACAGTGAATTTAAATCCATGTACAGATACTGGTCTAATCCCAAATGTACACTCTTGTTGGGGTAGAAAAGTGCCTTTCAAGGGCTCAGCTTATATCCCCTGGTCTGCACTTAAAGGTTTCTTTCTTTATTTTCTTTTTCTTTCCCAGTATAATGATTTTTGTTTCTCCACATTTAAGTAAAAGGGTGTCTCTCCTGTACCAGTTGCTATGGGAAAATGTTATGATGGGCATATGAAATAGATATTAACAATGTCCTCAGGGAAATGACTCTCTCATGGGAATGTCTCATGGTGAAGGAGCAGCAGCTGAACGTCAGAGCTGTGCTGGTTTAGGCCACAAAGCCTGAAAAGCAGCTCTGGTGACAGGGCAGGAAAAGGGAATGGAGAGAAGATGCAGCTCCTGGGCGTTGTCAGAACACAGGCTGTGATGGCAGGACACAGGGCAGAATCTGGACTGCAGGATGGGGAGAAACACAGTGCCGTGTTATTAGGTGCATTTCATGTAGAAGAACTGCCTCGGAGTGAGGGTGGGTGTGAGAAAGACTGCTGCCCAGTCCAGCAGGGAATGAGATTTGGTGTGCTGATTGTTGTTTGTGTGAGCCTGCGTCAGTGCTACCTTCCACAGGAAGGAAAGAGACCTTCTTAGATCACATAAATCATACCGATATGCACATGAGGATACATGGAAATAGGCACAGGCTCAGATAAGAATCATAGAATCATAGAATATCAGGGTTGGAAGGGGCCCCAGAAGGTCATCTAGTCCAACCCCCTGCTCAAAGCAGGACCAATTCCCAGTTAAATCATCCCAGCCAGGGCTTTGTCAAGCCTGACCTTAAAAACCTCTCAGGAAGGAGATTCTACCACCTCCCTAGGTAACGCATTCCAGTGTTTCACCACCCTCTTAGTGAAAAAGTTTTTCCTAATATCCAATCTAAACCTCCCCCACTGCAACTTGAGACCATTACTCCTCGTTCTGTCATCTGCTACCATTGAGAACAGTCTAGAGCCATCCTCTTTGGAACCCCCTTTCAGGTAGTTGAAAGCAGCTATCAAATCCCCCCTCATTCTTCTCTTCTGCAGGCTAAACAATCCCAGCTCCCTCAGCCTCTCCTCATAACTCATGTGTTCCAGTCCCCTAATCATTTTTGTTGCCCTTCGCTGGACTCTCTCCAATTTATCCACATCCTTCTTGAAGTGTGGGGCCCAAAACTGGACACAGTACTCCAGATGAGGCCTCACCAATGTCGAATAGAGGGGAATGATCACGTCCCTCGATCTGCTCGCTATGCCCCTACTTATACATCCCAAAATGCCATTGGCCTTCTTGGCAACAAGGGCACACTGCTGACTCATATCCAGCTTCTCGTCCACTTTCACCCCTAGGTCCTTTTCCGCAGAACTGCTGCCTAGCCATTCGGTCCCTAGTCTGTAGCTGTGCATTGGGTTCTTCCGTCCTAAGTGCAGGACCCTGCACTTATCCTTATTGAACCTCATCAGATTTCTTTTGGCCCAATCCTCCAATTTGTCTAGGGCCCTCTGTATCCTATCCCTCCCCTCCAGCGTATCTACCACTCCTCCCAGTTTAGTATCATCCGCAAATTTGCTGAGAGTGCAATCCACACCATCCTCCAGATCATTTATGAAGATATTGAACAAAACCGGCCCCAGGACCGACCCTTGGGGTACTCCACTTGATACCGGCTGCCAACTAGATATGGAGCCATTGATCACTACCCGTTGAGCCCGACAATCTAGCCAGCTTTCTACCCACCTTGTAGTGCATTCATCCAGCCCATACTTCCTTAACTTGCTGACAAGAATACTGTGGGAGACCGTGTCAAAAGCTTTGCTAAAGTCAAGAAACAATACATCCACTGCTTTCCCTTCATCCACAGAACCAGTAATCTCATCATAAAAGGCGATTAGATTAGTCAGGCATGACCTTCCCTTGGTGAATCCATGCTGGCTGTTCCTGATCACTTTCCTCTCATGCAAGTGCTTCAGGATTGATTCTTTGAGGACCTGCCATGCTGAGTCAGACCCATGGTCCATCTTGGTCAGTGTCCTGTTTGGGGCACCTGGCATTGGCCACTCTCAGAAGAGGGAATAAACAGAACAAGGAATCATCAAGTGATCCAATCCCTGTCACCCATTCCCAGCGTCTGGCAAACAGAAAGTGTCCCTACAGGTACAGGGTGGTAATTAACAATGTCAGAGGGGCAATACCTAAGTTGTTTCTATCAGTGTAGAAAAGAGGGGTCGGAGAGGGGGTGTCTTTGTCTAGGTGAGAGGGGAACAGAAAGTCTCGTGGTTGTCTTGGGTGGTCCATTGTCATGGGCATACATGTGCTAGTGTAACTGTAGACATTGAGCCCGGGAGCTACTCCCCTGCTCTGTCAGCAACACAGCTGGGGAAAGGCAAGAGAGAATCACGTGGTGTTACCAATCCCACGGTACCCAGTATCTCTGCACTGCTGAAAAGCCACTTCCCCTTTTGGTACCGGCCCTGCTGTGCCCTGGTCACTGTGTCTCTAGCGCAGTGACAGGTGGCGGTGTCCGCAGCTGGTTCTTTTTCGTTTGTTTGTTTGTTTGTTATAAAGGAAACAAATAAATATGAATAGTCCTAAGTCAGGGCGAATCTCAGCTCTGCAGCTCCAGCCCCTGAGCAGCGGGCTGTGGGGGAGGGTCCGGTTCACGGGGTCCCATGGGGCTGAGACCCGCTGGCGCTGGGAGAGAGTTGGGACTGCATCCCCTTCCCAGCAGTGTCCGGCTCCAGGGAGCTGTGGGGTGACCAGAGGGAAACAGTCCCCGGCAGGTTTAGCCGGATGGAGAAGGGACCAATGGCTCGTTGCTTCGCTCCCCGGAGATCCCCAGTTCACTCGCACGAGAAGAGCCGTTTGCGTGAGGCGAGCAGCGCTCCGCAATGCGCTGGGAGGGGGGACGTAGTCCGGACATGAAAGAGTTAACCCGCGATGTCGGAGGTTTCAGTCCTGACGGCCCTTGCCCCTCCTGCGGCCCCGACAGGAGAGTTTTGCTTGTGTCGTTGCTGCCCCCACGCGGCCGGCGCGGGAAGTCCCGCAGCTCCGGTTTTGGTATTAGCATGGGCCGTTTTACTCTCACTGTGTGTCTCGCACAGTAATAGCGGGCGGTGTCCTCGGGCTTCAGGCCGGTCATCTGCAGATACAGCTCACTCTTGGCGTTATCCCTGGAGATGGTGAATCGCCCTTGAACAGCTGGGGAATACCATTGCTTGGATGCATCGGCTCTAATCTCAGCCACCCACTCCAGCCCCTTCCCGGGAGCCTGCCGGACCCAGTCCATGTAGTAGCTGCTGAAGGTGAAGCCGGAGGCTTTGCAGGAGAGGCGGAGAGAGTCTCCGGGCTTTTTCACGTCCCCTCCGGACTCCACCAGCTTCTGGGACCGGACACCTGGGAATAAAGAGAGGCCATTAATATCGGCATAAAAGCAGAGGTAAGAAACTATTCTTCTAACTTTGTCAGTTATTCAGAGGAGGAAAATACCTTCCAAAGCTGCTGCAGCGAAAAATAAAAGGAGCAAAAATCGCATTTTCCCTGGTGTTGGAGGGGAAAGTTCTCAGGGGACTGGCTGGTCACTGCACAGACCCAGGGGGCTGCGGATTGTGTCTCCGGCTGCAGCCTGTGCAGGGAGAGGGACACATTTAAACAGGAAACTCTCCTCCTTATTTGCATGCCCCGCTCCTTATAAGAGACACACACTCTTACCCTTACTATTTTGGGTGATTAACTATCGGTGCAGACGGTCCCTTCCTCTGTGCTGTGCAGCGCCTGGGCGGCCGGATCCTGATGATACTGTTATCCCGGGGAGGACTGAAGTGATCTCTCACCCCTCAACACCATCTTATGGCCTGACAGAGCATGTTTCGGGTGGTTCAGTGCAGGACACCCCTTGTTCTTCATGGCCTTGGGATCAGAGGGTTGGAGAGAAAAATATTTGGCAGGAGAACGGGGGCGGCGCATGTGAGACTTTCTGGCTCCAAGAGGAAACTGAGGCACGCTTGTTTATAACAATGGAAATCCTGGCAGTTAAAATTCAGGGGTTGCCTAATCTAGGATGGGACTTCCACGGAAGGATGGAGGGAGCACTGGGCTCTATGTTGTTCAGTAGAAGCCGCGTTCTGGTCTCTCTCCATCCCGGGGTCTTTTTCTCCCCCTGCCTCAGCCTCTGTCTGCAATTGCAGTGACCCCGATCTTAGAAGCCTTGGTCACGTGACTGTCCCCCTTGACCCGAGGACCAGCGCTGGGCTGAGTGATGTCATCAAGGGCTGAGGGGCGGGGTCTTTTATCTCCATGGTGAAATTATGAAATTGCAGAGATTTATTGTGGGTCGGGATGTCTCAGCAACACCCATTGATACCAGCTGAGAGTCAAGGCTTTGATTTACAGATGTCAGTGGGGTGAAAAGAATCCCTCAGTCCCTTTGGAAAATCGCAGCTGTGCCCATATTCCCAGGCTCTGCCAGTGGGGCTTAGTCAGGCGCTGGGTGATCTCTGCCCCACAGCCCCACCCGGACTCTGCATTGCCCATTTGCATGTCCCGGCGTCCGTCCCTCCTCTTTGAACCAGGGGCTGTGATAGTTCCCCGGCCTTGTGGGGATAAAGGCAATAAGCGCTTGTGAAGGGCGGAGACGCCAAGGTGAGGGGCCCCACACCGGTTATAATGTACTAATCACCCTCTGTAGCTTTAATGCGCTAAACATCCCCTTTTGCTTAAAGGGCGAGATCCTCACGGGTGTAAATCGAGAGTAACTCGAATCTAGTGAAAGCAGTTGTGTGACTTGACGCTGGCTGAGGATTTGAGGAATTCGCTCCATTCATTGGGTTTGATGCAAAACCCACTGGGCACTCCAGCCCCTTCCCGGGGGCCAGACGGATCCATCCAATCCATGAGATCACTGCTGACGGTGAACCCGAAGGCTCCAGGTTTTTTCCAATCCCTTCGGACTCCACCAGCAGGACCCGCAGCCTGGCCGCTGAAAATAGAGATTTCTTTAGACCCCTGATTCTATCACGCTCAGGAACCCGGAGGGGCGTACACTTTGTTCTTTAATAGTTACCTGGGAGAATTGACAGAGTGAGAATTAAGTTCAGCCAAACTCTCATCTTCCTGGGTTTTGTGTAAGAAATTCCGAGGGGCAGAGTGAAAGTGAGAGTGTGGAAAAACCTGCGTCTTCTTCTGGCAGGAGCTGCAGGGCCAGAGCCGTGGCAGGATTTAAACAAGGTGATTAGCTCTTGATTTGCATAGAGACCCCTTCATATAAGAGAGAGGTTCCTCTGGCTAAGCACCGTGAGCGGGGATAGATAGATAGATAGATAGATAGATAGATAGATAGGAAGGATGACTGATGGATGGATAGATGGGGTGGGGGGGTGTATGGGGAAACAAGGGAATGTTAAATAGCCGGTTTTACTGAGTGGTGCTCAGACGGCAAGGATGGATAGTTGAATCCATAATGCGCCATGGTACTCGGCTCTCAGACTGTTTGGAGACCAGTTCATTGTTGAGGTTAATCGGAGTGAGACAATGTACAGGGCAGGGAGTGGAATACATGTGTAACATCTTAAAACATGTCCCACACAGCTCTTTGGCATAGACAAATAGGGATTCGGTTCCCTTTATAGATGCCAGGGTTTGTGTTTTCACCAATGCTGCTTTCCATCCTCACACGGGAACGGAGAGGCGAACATGGGAATATCTGGAGTTCTCTTGGACAGATAATAATTCCTTTGAACCCTTATCAGTGTCTGCAATAGAATATCTGGGACCGAGTGAATCCCCACCACGCCCAGTGCGGGACACCCGGTTCCCGGTATCTCCGCCTCCTGTGGATCTAGACCTGACTGTACAGCCGGGTTCATTTCCCCCATTTCAAACGGAGGAAATTGCTTTCTCTTGTGAGCTCCCAGCGCGCGGATTGGCAGCACCAAACCAGCCGGGACTTTCTCTGGGAACCGCCCCAGGAGGTTTTTGTCTGAGCTCAGACCGGCTTCCCCTCACTGTGCAGGGCGGCGGGGGGAGGGGGGGGGGTGTCTGGCACAGCGATAGCGGGCGGTGTCCTCGGGCTTCAGGCCGGTCAGCTGCAGACACAGCAGGTTGCTGGGATTGTCCCTGGAGATGGTGAATCGCCCTTTGGCTGCATCAGACTCCCAAGTACTACTCCCACTGCCGCTGCTGATACGGCGACCCACTCCAGCCCCTTCCCGGGAGCCTGACAGACCCGCTCCATGCACTAATCCGTGAAGGGGAACCCGGAGGCTTTGCGGGAGAGGCGGAGAGAGGCTCCGGGCTTTTTCACACCCCCTCCGGACTCCACCAGCTGCACCTGTGACGGGACACCTGCAAATAAGGACACGTCAGGCATTGGCCGATTCTGCTGGAGAAGAAACCTGGGGATGCCCCGCTCTTGCTGGGGAGTAAATCACCTCTGAGCTCTGCAGAGAGAGAAGCCAACGTCTCGTGTCTCTGCCCGCGTCGGGTGTTCTGGGGAGATGACTGCTGTGGCTCAGGGCTGTGGCTTTTCAGTGCTAGGGTTGCAGGGTCTGGGGAATGGCAGGGTTTTACTCAGGGAGCTGAGTCACCGTGTTTGCGTACACTGGCTTTTTGTAAGGGGCTGATAAGTTCATCCTCTGCTTGACTTGAAATCCCCAACTCAGAGCTCAAATAGGAGAGTGATTTATCCAGAGATCTGGCTCTGGCTGAATGACTTTGTCCATAACACACTACCTGTTAATCTGATCAGCGAGATGGTCAATTGTTAAGATAACATCCTCAGCAGAGTGACAAGTATCAGAGGGGTAGCCATGTTAGTCTGTACCCACAAAAACAATGAGGAATCCTATGACACCTTAATAAACTAATGTGACGATGTGACTCAGCAGGGAGGGGGGAGTGTTGACCTGGGAATGTGCCCTGGGGATGGGAGACCTGAGAGCCTGTCACCTGAGCCAGGAGAGGGAGGGGGAAGTAACACCTCTGCCCAGGAATGTGGACGGAGACTGCAGCAGGGAACCTGCTGGGTGGGTTGAGTTTGCAGTTTGGGGCTGGGGAGAGGAACAGAGGGAACCCCAGGGCTGGGGTCTAAGCTCCCTGCTCCCCCAGAAGGACGTGATTGAGGGGTCCTGGTTGTACCCACAAGCTCTGTTGTGGACTGTGTTCCTGTTGTCCAATAAACCTTCTGTTTTACTGGCTGGCTGAGAGTCTCAGTGGATCCCAGGAAGAGGGGTGCAGGGCCTGGACTCCCCCACTCTCCGTGACAACTAATAAGGCTTTGTCTACACTACAAAATTACTCCGATTTCACAGAAGTTGATTTTTGGGAACAGATTGTAGAAAGTCAAGTGCATGCACCCACACTAAGCACATTAATTCGGTGGCAGTACCGTGGCAAGCGTCGACATTGGGAGTGATGCACTGTGGGTAGCTATCCCACAGTTCCCATGGTCCCTGCTGCCCATTGGAATTCTGGGCTGAGCTCCCAATGCCTGATGGGGCCAAAAATTTGTCACAGGTGGTTATGGGTAAATATCATCAGTCAGCCCTCCCTCTGTGAAAGCAATGGCAGACAATCATTTTGCACCCTTTTCCCTGGATTGCCTGAGCAGACGCCATTGCATGGCAAGCATGGAGCCCGTTCAGCTCACCGCAGCAGTTATGACCATTGTAAACACCTCATGCATTATCTTGCAGTTTATACAGAACCAGCACCTGAAAAACCAGGTGAGGAGGTAACAGAAGCACGGTGATGAGGACATGAACACAGACTTCTCTAAAACCACGGTCCTTGGCAATTTGGAGATCATGGTGTTAATGGGGCAGGCTCATGCTGTGGAAAGCTGATTCTGGGCCCAGGAAAAAAACACAGATTAGTGGGACCGCATAGTGCTGCAGGTCTGGGATCGTTCCCAGTCCGTCCAAAACATTTGCATGCATAAGGGCACTTTCATGGAACTTTGTGACTTGCTTTCCCCGGCCCTGAAGTGCCAGAATACCAAGATGAAAGCAGCCCTCACAATTGAGAAGCAAGTGGCAATAGCCCTGTGGAAGCTTGCAATGCCAGACAGCTACCGGTCAGTCAGTAATCAATTTGGAGAGGGCAAATCTACTGTGGGGGTTGCTGTGATGCAAGTAGCCAATGCAATCATTGAGCTGCTGCTATCAAAGGTAGTGACTCTGGGAAATGTGCAGGTCATACTAGATGGCTTTGCTGCAATGGGATTCCCTAACTGTGGTGGGGCTATAGACGGAACGCATATCCCTATCTTGGGATCGGATCACCAAGGCAGCCACTACATAAACCGCCAGGGGTACTTTTCAATGGTGCTGCAAGCACTGGTGGATCACAAGGGACATTTCACCAACATCAGCGTGGGATGGCCGGGAAAGATTAATGATGCTTGCGTCTTCAGGAACTCTGGTCTGTTTAAATGGTTGCAGGAAGGGTTTTACTTCCCAGACCAGAAAATAACTGTTGGGGATGTTGAAATGCCTATAGTTATTCTTGGGGACCCAGCCTACCCCTTAATGCCCTGGCTCATGAAGCCGTACACAGGCAGCCTGGACAGTAGTCGGGAGCTCTTCAGCTATCGGCTGAGCAAGGGCAGAATGGTGGTAGAGTGTGCATCTGGACGTTTAAAGGGTCGCTGGTGCAGTTTACTGATCAGACGTCAGCAAAACCAATATTCCCATTGTTATTGCTGCTTGCTGTGCGCTCCACAATCTCTGTGAGAGTGAGGGGGAGATCTTTATGGCGGGGTGGGAGGTTGAGGCAAATCGTCTGGCTGATGAATACATGCAACCAGACACCAAGGCGATTCGAAGAGCACAGCAGGAAGCACTGCGCATCATCACTCCTTGATGAAAACCTGCCCCCTTGGTTGACTCTAATTCCCTGTAAGCCACCCGACCTCCCGCCTTCGATCACAGCTTGCTTGCAAAGGAAATAAAGTCACTATCATTTAAAAACCATGTATTCTTTATTAATTGATTATAAAAATAGGGAGATAACTCACAAGGTAGCCTGGGTGGGGTGTGGGAGGAGGGTAGGAGGGAAGGAAATGGCCACTTCAAAACTTGTTGAATGACAGCCTTCTGTTGCTTGGGCTGTCCATTGGGGTGGAGTGGTTGGGTGCCTGGAGCCTCCCCCTCACCCCCGTGTTCTTGGGCGTCTGGGTGAGGAGGCCATGGAACTTGGGGAGGAGGGAGAGTGGTTAAGCAGGGGCTGCAGGGGCAGTCTGTGATCCTGAAGCCGTTCCTGAACCTCCACCAGATGCCGGAGTATGTCCGTTTGTTCCCGCAGTAGCCCCAGTGTTGCATCCTGCCTCCTCTGATCTTCCTGCCACCACCTCTCATCTTGATCATCCCTCCTCACATTCATTGGCCACTTTCCTGTACTGTGCTACTGTATCCCTCCACACATTCTGCTGAGCTCTGTCAGTGCCGGATGACTGCATGAGCTCAGAGAACATGTCATCACATGTGTGTTTTTTTCACCACCTTATCTGAGAGAGCCTTTGGGACGGCGGAGGGAGGCTTGAAACATTTGCAGCTGCTGGAGGAAAAAAAGGGAGTGAAGTATTTAAAAAGATACATTTTACAGAACAATGGCTCTATTCTTTCACGGTGAACAACACTATTCACATTACATAGCACATGTGATTTTGGTACCTGGTAGCATTTTGCATCTTATATTGAGTGCCTGCAGCTTTGGTGTTGAAGATCACACACGCAGGGCCAGGCAACAGATTTCGGCTTGGAGGCAGCCATGGTAAGCCACAGTCTTTCGGCTTCTTCCACCTTCATAACAGCAGCGCCCTCCTTTCCCATACCAAGCAAAGCCCATTGAGTTGGCCATTTAGTGCTGTGGTTTTCCAGTTAACATGCAGCAGCAGAAAACAAACTACCTCCCCCATCCAATTCTCTGGGTTGATCGCTTTACTCCTCCCACCACCGTGTGGCTGGTATCAGGGAAGATCCCTGCTAGCCAAATGCGAACAGCTCAGCACCAATGCCCCTCCCCCCCAGGTGGCTAACTGTGGGGAGGATTTCTTTTCAGCCATAGGCAAACAGCCCAGTAGGAACGGGCACCTCTGAATGTCCCCTTAATAAAATTCCCCTATTTCAACCAGGTTACCATGAACAATATCACTCTCATGAGGATAACACAGAGAGATAAAGAACGGATGTTGCTTGAATGCCAGCAAACACTGGGACCATACACTGCCAGGCTTTGTCATGCGATGATACCAGATTACTTGCTACTAGCATGGCATGGTAAAGTATCCTACCATGGAGGACGGAATAAGGCTGCTCTCCCCAGAAACCTTCTGCAAAGGCTTTTAGAGTACCTCCAGAGAGCTTCATGGAGATGTCCCTGGAGGATTTCCACTCCATCCCCAGACATGTTGACAGACTTTTCCAGTAGCAGTACTGGCCATGAATGCACCCCAAGTCCTCAGGGCTACTTAATCATTAAAAAAGTTTGCTTTTAAAACATGTATTATATTTAAAAAGGTACACTCACGAAAGGTCCCTTCTCTGGCTTCGTTGGGTTGGGAGGGTATTTCAGTCAGGGTGATAAAGAGATCCTGGCTGTCATGGTGGAGAGAACCCCATCATCAGAGTCCACGGACAGGGGTGGGTTAGTGGTGGTGGCCCCCCGCAGAATTGCATGCAGCTCAGCGTTGAAGAGGCATGTCTGGGGCTCTGTCCCAGAGCATCCGTTTGATTATTTGGATTTCTGGAATGCTTGTCTGAGCTCCCTAAGTTTCACGTGGCACTGTGTTGAGTCCCTACTGTAGACTCTGTCCATCATGGCCTTGGAGATTTTTTTAAATGTTTTGACATTTAGTCTTTTGGAACGGAGTTCTTATAGCACGGATTCATCTCCCCATACAGCAATCAGATCCAATACCTCCCTTTCGGTCCATGCTGGAGCTCTTTTTCGATTCTGGGACTGCATGATTACCTGTGCTGATCGAGCTCGCCTGGCCAAACAGGAAATGCGATTCAAAAGTTCCCCGGGCTTTTTCTGTACACCTGGCCAGTGCATCTGAGTTGAGAGTGCTGTCCAGAGCGGTCACAATGGTGCACTGTGGGAGAGCTTCTGGAGGCCAATACCGTCGAATTGCGTCCACACCAACCCTAATTCGAAATGGTGATGTCGATTTCAGCGCTAATCCCCTCGTTGGGGAGGAGTACAGAAATCGATTTTAAGAGCCCTTCATGTTGACAAAAATGGCTTCCTTGTGTGGACGGTTGCAGGGTTAATTTAATTTAATGCTGCTAAATTCGACGTAAACTCGTAGTGTAGACCAGGCCAATAGATTTATTTGGGCATAAGCTTTTGCTGAAGAAGTAGGTTTTTTACCCATGAAAGCTTATGCCCAAATAAATCTGTTAGTCTTTAAGGTGCCACCAGACTTCTTGTTGTCTTTCTCCTTAGCAGAGAACTTTTCGGCCTTTATCATTGAAATATGAATTTGCTTAGTGTGCCCATGGGCCAAGATTATTAAAAAAATGACGAATTGTTTTAACTGCCTCAATTTTTAATTGTTGAGTGTGAGGGGCCTTCAAAGGAGATTGGCTTTCAGAGTCTGGGTGTGTCGTAATTTCTCATGAGAAAGCCCCTGCAGGAATTCTATGTTGGGCACCCATCATTTAATACACATAAAACGCTTATGAAAATAGTATCCACTTTCAGAGAAAGTTGGTGTCTGTACAAACGACAGAACAAGGGCTGAGAAAGTTGAGCTCTGCAGGTGCATAGCCCCTTGTTTTGGGCCAGCCCCAGAGGGGTGAATTTCACCCACACTAAATTATCAAGGAACAGGCTGAGGGGGAAGAGATGCAACCTGCTCCCCGCCTTGCAGGCATAGAGCCACCATGCCGCGTTAGCTCGTAGCTCTGAATAAGTGTGCTGTTCTGCTCATGACACACACGTTGTGATCCACACAACAAAGTGACTGGGTCTGAGACCTGTGCAACTCTGGGCCGAGATTCTACAGCCAGCAGGAGATAAAAAGGCTCTTGATTTCTATTCTCAGATGTGGTCGGGAAGCACTGTCTCTTGTTACAGCGAGAGTGTCAGTGGAGATTCCCCCCTTCAATTCTCAGCGGAACGGCAGATGAAATGGTAGAGCAGGAGATGTGACTCCTGATTTCACTGCCAGCCTTGGGAGTTCTCTCATTCTCTCTTTGCCTTTGGGTGATGTGCGTTTTAAATCCCCAGTGATGGGAACTTGCTAGGGAGCCTGGAGGAAGCGAACAACCAACCAAGCAGAGAGATCGCGGGGCTGGCAGCTGCTGCTCCCGGCGGCTCTCACAGGCAGGCTCTCCGCACGGTTAGTTTGAGTGCGGGCTCGGATCGGTTCCCCCTCACTGTGTGTCTCTGGCACAGTAATACACGGAGGTGTCTGCGGTCTGCAGGCCGGCCAGCTGCAGGAACACTTGGCTTTTGGAGGTGTCTCTGGTGATGGTGAGGCGACTTTTGAGAGCATCGCTGTAAGCAGTGCCTCCGCCCCTCCACATGGCTCCGACCCATTCCAGCCCCTTCCCCGCTGGCTGGCGGGCCCAGTGCATATCGTAGCTCGTGAGAGAGAATCCGGACACGGTGCAGGTCAGTCTGAGGGTCTCCCCGGGCTTCTTCATTCCCCCACCGGACTCCACCAGGCTGACCTGGGAATAGACACCTGGAGAATAGGAAATAAAGGGGAAATATTGCGGCGATTCCCGGGGAAGCGCAGCTACTAGGGAACATGCCCTACAGGGCGCCCAGCGGCAGCGCAGATCCCGCCCTTACCCGCGGGGAGCAGCAGGAGGAAGGCGATGGCCAGGCTGGGGGTCATGTCTGCGGCTGGCGGCTCGTTCCCCAGGCGGGACGGGAAGCTGAAACCCAGCGCTGGCTCTGTGCGGGGTGAGCGGACAGCGGCGGGGCTATGAACAGGGCTCCGGGGAGCTCATTTGCATGGGCCAGGGGGTGGGGAGAATATAAAAGGCGATCTAGGAGGTGTGTGACACAGTCTAGAGTTGTAAAAATCTAATGGCAGGTGGGTGAGAGAGTCCAACGTGGATAGAGAAACTATCTTTTGCACTATTTAATTTGAAAATATATCCCCACTAAATGAAAGCAGTTGCGTGATCTATCTATCTATCTATCTATCTATCTAATCTCTAACCCATTCAGTACCATTCAGTAAACAGGCATATACTCTCCCTCTGGTAAAACTAACTTTCTTTCTTGCCTTCTTCTCTTATCATTACTAAGGACTCGATGCCAGCCCTGGGCTGATTTGTATAGTTATGACCAGCGGTGTTCCCCTTAACCAGACAGTGTGAAATTGCGGAAATGTCGTGCGGGCTGCTTAGTTCTGCCCTTTTACTAACCTGAGATATTGGATTGTGAGCTTCGGTTGTGAGGTGGGTAACGACATCCAGGAGGCTCCTTTGAAAATCCCAGCCTTGGCTCATATTTCCAGGAGTAGCTGAGTAGGGGTTCATACAGGAGCTGAGTGCTCTCTGCCACACAGGCCCGTCGGGGCTTTGTGCCGCAATGGGTGAGATAAAACCCATTCCCATGCCTGTCCCCGCAGCTATATTCTTTGTGAATCTGCTGGCTCCACGCGGCTCAGGGGAGAAGCGGATTCTGCAGGGCTGAGTTTTTGTATGAACACTAATACGTCTCCTGTCACCGTGTCTCTGGCACAGTGATACCGGGCAGGGTCCTCGGGTCTCGGGCTCTTCATTTGCAAATACAGCAGGTTGTTGGAATTACCGCTGGAGGTGACGAATCGCCCTTTGACAGAGTGGGAGTAGAATATAGTTCCACACTTGGGGACATGAGGGAGAGCCACTCCAGCCCCTTCCCGGGAGCCCCTGATGGGCCCAGTGCACCCCGTAGCTGCGGGTGGTGAACCCGGAGGCGCTGTCGGAGAAGCGGAGAGAGTCTCCGGGCTTTTCCACATCCCCTCCGGATTCCACCAACCCCTGGGACAGGGTCCCTGGGAATAAACCACGTTAAGAATCACATCAGTATGAATGACAGGTTTCAGAGTAGCAGCCGTGTTAGTCTGTATTCGCAAAAAGAACAGGAGGACTTGTGGCACCTTAGAGACTAACAA